AAATTTATTTTAACCTTGCTTATTAAATAATTAAATTGTTAATAAGTAACACTTACTAGTAATTAATTACAAATTACAAATACAAAGACAAAACTTCTACTTCTAATAGAAATGAGGATAAAATAGAGGAAATTTTTATAAATGAAAACCAAATTTTTGATCCAAGTAAATTCCTCTACTGATCATACAGCTATTTTGAATAATACCAAATATCCATTAACAGTAGGTCGATTATTAAATAATTAAATTGTTAATAAGTAACACTTACTAATAATTAATTACAAATTACAAATACATAGATGAAAATTCTATTTCTAATAGAAATAAGGGTAAAATAGAGCAAATTTTTATAAATGAAAACCAAATTTTTGATCCAAGTAAATTCCTCTACTTATCATACAGCTATTTTGGATAATATCAAATATCCATCAACAGTTGGTTGGTTATTTAATGATTAAATTATTAATAAGTAACACTAATTACTAATTATTAATTAAGAATAGAAAGATAAAAATTCTATTTCTAATAGAAATGAGGATAAAATAGAGAATATTTTTATAAACAAAAACCAAATTTTTGATCAAGTAAATTTCTGTGCTGATCATACAACTATTTTGGATAATATCAAATATCCTTCAACTGTAATTTTTGGAAACATCTAAAGGTTTATTAATTTTTCTTGCCGAAAGAGATGCGTCTTATAACGAAAAGAAACTATTCGAAAAATAGAAAAATTTTAATTAATTTATTGAAATTTGGTTGAACATAACATACAACGCTGTTTTGAGTATTGCCAAGTACTCATCATCAGAGGTCTTCGAAAATATTCGAATGTTTTAAATTAGAACGAGCTTTTAAACTACAGCTTTATTTGAAAACACAAATTCAACGACTTGAAAACGACATGAAAATTAATCCATAGGTTTACATATGTTATTATTATTGTAAATAGAGTAGTAAATAGAATAGTAAATAGAGTAATCATTTGTAATCAAGAAGGAGTGTAAGCCTATAAGAGTTTGAAATATATTCAATTTTGATTTTCAATAAAAAGAATTTATACATCAATTATTTAATTGATTTCTGTTTAAATAATTCATATATTTTGGTTCTAATAATTGACACAAGAATTCAAAGACAACCCTAACAGTTCATTTTGAGCCATAGGTTGAATAGTTCTACAAAATGTCTATAAGGCCACAGGAGCTAAATGTTTTTCATAACTGTTTTACGACGAAAACTTAATGATGAGAAGACTTTAAATATAATGAGAGATCTGAGTACCCTAACAATTATTGCTAATACAACTAATCGTGGAGAAACATAAAAGCGTCTTGCCACTTTATTTTGTTTCTCGAACTCTTTAAAACAGTCAAAGGGTAACTTTTTTAACAAGATATGATATGAATACGAAATTAGAAAAGAACTTAAGACTATACCTAAAAAGGCATCCAAAGACTGTTTCTTAGACTGACAACTACTGTTTCTTAGACGATAGGTCAGTTGGTAGAGCAGTGGACTATAGAAGCAAATATTAAAAAATAAATGAAGACATGTACAATTTTTCGTTATTTTTCTATATCTTATGCAAGTCTCAATTTTTGAACTTTAAAACTATTTATAATTTTTTAAATTTAAACAAAAAAAATTACTCATCACAGGAATGGTATATATTAGTTCTACATTAGGAAGCATGTATCAACACTTCTACATAATTTCCTGGTGCTAGCAATGGTACATTATTTTTACAATTCTTCTTTATAGTACATTCCTAGTGATTCCTAGAGATTATAGGCTTTAATTTTTAATAAATACGATAGGTCCTTTATAATTCAAACGCAAGTGAAACGCTTTAGATAATGGACTTATCAGGCTTTCAAATTATAGAGGTTTTTATTTATTTTAATTTATTCCCAACTTTCCGAATGAAAAAAATTAATACATATTACATATTATGGGATTTGAAGCATATATGGTACAATGTTTTTATGTCAAGGTAAATATATAGAACAAAGAATTGTGACGTATTAGAGATATTTCGAATTATAAAAATTCGAACTAAATAAGTTCTACTATATATAACAATTTGACAGACTCTTCATCATCAGGATAGAGGATCAATTTATTTCAAGCTTCTAAGAAAAAATTTTTGTTTAATGCTTAATTCTAATACTTAAAATTCAAAAGTACATAAGTATGTTGCGAGAATAGAACATACACACACAATAACAGAAATTGACTCATCTGTTAGTATCTAAAGCCAGTTAATATAGGGTTGCTACTGATAAACCTGAGTTTCTAAAAACGTTATCAAGATGTTTTTGTACAATACTTATATCTACGTATATGGTTTAACAATGTCAATAAATTCACTTAGATTTAATATATATTAAATATATATATTAAAACTCCTTATACATGTATAATTAGTATAAAAACAATTTCTTATTTAATATGAATATTGAAAAAAGAAGTTCTTGATAAAAGATATTTATGAGTTCGTCACACACAACAAGTAATAAAATTTCACATGGCTTTTATCTTAATAACAAAATAGAATGTTCATACGTATATTTATCTAATTTACTTACAAATATCAATTATTCAAAAATAAGTAAATTTAAGTTCAAAGAAATTGATTGGACGTCATGTTTTTTGATAAAAATTGATCAGAAAAATAATTAAAAATTTAAATAAATCTTTTTGAAATACGTCAAAGACTTTGAAAAATATTTATCAAAATGATTTAAATAATAAATTATTCATATCATATATCAAACTAAACTTTATTAAAGAATTGATCAATTAGGTTTATCTATTTAGAAAATTATAGTTAGTTATTTTTTAATTTGTTATAATTAAAAATTTATTATATATGGATAGCTTTATTTTTATATGATAGCTTGATGTAAAAGTTTTGAAGTATTTTTAAAAAAATAATTCATAATTTATTGTTTTAATGACCAAATTTTTTTATATATTTTTGTGAGAGATAATTGATATACTTCAGGGTGGCTTGAATATAACTAAAGACTATAGTCGAAATTTTAATGACAATAAAATATATTTTTTAAAATAATTTAAAATTTTTATTTTTTGAAACAATTGACCAATTACCCCAACCATAATATATAAATATAAATAAATTCTTTAACATAATTTAAAAAGTTGCGTTTTTTTAACATATATTAATATTATAATTTATTAAAAAATGTATATAAATATTTAAAATAAATGTTTACTTAAAAATTATTAATGTTTTAATAAAGGTAGGTCAAAAATTTAGACATCTGAATATTATTAATTTCTAGAGAAGATTAAAGAAGGAGATCTAAAGAAGAGAAAGTTTTTATAATTTTAGAGTTTAGAAAGTTTTTAACAATACAATTTAGTCAATTTGTGATGTGTAATTAAATCTTCTACATTTTTAAATGACTCAAACACAAATTTAATCTAATTGTATTTTTAATAGATATAGTAACTAATGCCGTTTTCAAAAGGTAGATTTGGATTAACTTTTTCAATCGAAATTCAATTTTTAATAATCTATTGGTAAACCTAGACCGAAATGTATAACACTCGAGATTAATTTATAACACTTTAGATATTTTGTCAGAGCAACAAGATTATCCTGAAGTTTAGAGCAGTTTTAATCGACTTGATAGATGAAATGTGATTTGATTTGACATATGTGTTTATGAAAAATATAAATACCTAAATACCTATAAATATCTCGTATTAAGACAACTGCAAATGTGTTAGATTACTCTAAAAAGGTTTGATTGAGCAACAAATTTGACAAATCGATAGTAAATCTAGATTGAATCCAGATTTACTAATTGAAAACACCATAAGATAGTTGCACTTGTGAAATCAGACAAAAATAAATATCAATTATAGATATCAGATACCAATTTAAAAAAAACAGATACTAAAATAGATAGATAGACCACCTAAAATTAATAATAAAATTTTTAAATATTTCATTTTTGTTTCATTATTATCATATTGGTATCTTTAAAAATCTATTATTATATCTTTAATATATATTGACATATATAGTATATATATAATTTTTTAAATATTTTTAAGTGCAGAATTTCTTCAATTTCTGCAATTTTCTTAAAACTTTCTTAGATCGCAAAAGAGTGTCATCTACTTAACATACCGAACATAGGGTAACAAAACATATTTAGTTGTGACAACAAGGAAATGAAAAACAGCGGTAAAACATCCGAGTTGCTGCCTTGCCTGTTGCTTATATGATAAAAAGTGGGGGCGGAAGGCGTATTCAATTACTTTGTCTGCATAGTTGATGCTTCTTGTAAATGCAAGCAAATGGAAGGTATTTGAAATGCAATTACAATAAATTGAACTGTTTTTATTGCATGTTGACCCAGTTCTTTATAGGTTTATAAATAATTCATAACTGTTTTATATTATTTAAAAATTATGATTCCTATGTATGCATATACATATGTAGATGTGTAAGTCGAAATATCATGTAACAACATGTTAACATATGTATTTGTCTGTAGAACATTTATTATTTGAAAATCTATACATGCATAATTCAGTAGGGAAATGCTGGCTAAGAACTTCAGAAATGTTAGCGAAACCGTCAAAACACTGAAAATTCTTATGATAGCAAATTCCTTTTTTAACAATCTTCGACAATCCATATACCAGACAACTTACCATACATATGTATGTATGTACATGTGTAACACTGGTATTTTATCACAATCAACGTAACATGAATTTAAATGTATGAATGGTAAATTCATTGGGTTTGACATATCATGATGATGACAACACTTGTGTTCAAGTGATTGATGGTATAAAGCACCAATAAGCCACTAACAGCTGAAATTCCACGATGGTTTGTGAGTACACCGGCTTTACTTTGGGGATTTTTGGTATTATAATTTTTTAACCGTGATAGCTTTTGTATAATTTTTGACAGTCAAACAAAATGCTTTGATTAAAATTTTACTTACCTGGGTAATTGAGTGAATGATGATGAACGCTATCAGCTATTGCCTTGTTATAGTTATCATTGTTTGTGGTTTTGGTGGCTGGATAGCAACGATAACTGCCGGCTAAATAAATTGCTACTGCTCCAATAGCAGCACCTAAAACCGTAAACGCCACAGCCAAAATTAGCAAACGTCGCCTTAAAGCAGGATCTTTTATGACCCAATCGTTATGTTGATGATTTTGAATAGATGAGCTTCTGTTTGCTGTGATAGAAGTACTAGTGTTGTTATACGGAAATGGAGCATTTCGCTGTAATGTTGTACGTGGTGTACCGCTGACTATGGTGCTGATATTACCACCACCACCACCACCTCCAGTATCAGTACCACCACCAGCATCTGTACCAATGTATACAACGGTAGGTAGTTTTATGTGAGGTCCATTATTTGCTTGATTATTTTGATTTGTAATGCGTTGTTGCTGCACAGGAGACCGCACCGCATTAATGGCGGGGTTGTTACTGTTTGCTGTATTTGTTATTTTATTATCGGGAAAGTCATCTACAATGGGATTTCTTTCACTTCCCAGCAATGGTGCGACTACTGCTGCCGTGCCATCATCCATTGCAATACTATTTTCGCCACTACCAATATTGGGCGTGTTAGCGATGATATGCGGTGTACGCAGATAACCATTATTTATCAATTTTATATTTTCTGGCATTGCTGTGGTGAGTTGTTTAAAACGTATTTTGCGTTTTATTAATTTTCAGCTACTCGTAAGCCCGCCACTTCGATGAGTTGTGCTTAGTTTATAGGTTTTTGGTTGATTATTGAAATTTGTGAGACCAACGGCTGCTATCTTGTCACACCTCTCCACTGTGTGACAATTTGATAAGTAGTCTTACTGGTGCGAAACTACTAAATTTGCCAAACAAAATAATTTTGTTGCTGTTCTGTTTATCACATCAAATCGGTTGGTATTGACAATGCGGCTACGACTAATCTCTGGTCTCGTACACCTTTTCTGATATATCGAATGATTTATGGAACTTGTGTTTACCTATGCTGCTTTCAACGGTGAATATCTCACGTTTGTTGTATGGGTTTTGTTGTTCAAATTTTTAATAATATTCACTGAGGTGTCCATAGTGAAACGTTTGCTCATTAGGTGCTTTATATTTTAAGTACTGAAGATAAAAATCAAAACAAATAATTAATAAATATAAATAAACGAAACAATTATAATTATAAGTATCATATCGATTATATGTGTATATTAATAAAACACTATTAATTTATAATTTAATCAAAGTCCATTTTAAAGACATTTAATAAATTAAAAAATGATTAGACAACGTTTGAAGAATTTTTTCAAATTTTTAATTACCGATAATTATATTATATGAGTAGTTTGCAACGAAATTAAAACTTTATATTCACGTTATAACATCAAAATATATACATAAAATTTTAAGTTTTGAATTTAAGAGTATAAGTAAAAATATTAGTAAAAACAATGACAACGAATTTTATAAGTCAGCTATTTTGAGTAAAATTCTTTATTAAGCTATATACCTCTATAGCTTACTTCCCGAAATATCGAGTTTCAAAATTGTAAGAATTGATTTTTATGTTGATTACACTAGAAAAAACTATTAACATATATATACGTCATCTAAAGCCGACTAGTATTTACAATTTTTACATTGATCACACAAACCAACCATTGGTGACAATGACTTGATGCAACCGAATTCTCAAAAATTAAGCTATATAGACATACTGCGGAGAAATAGTGTTTAGAAGAACTGACTCCGTGCTGACCGACAGCTAAGGGGCTATCAAAGCACTAAACTCGCACGTTTTGACTCAAAACTGGTGCATACTTTAAAAAGACTTAGGCTAGGACTAGGATTAAGACCCTTCTCTCTCTTATAAAAATAAAGGAGAATAAGCATAATCCAAATCACTTATTCGTACCTACGACAACAAGAGATACCAGGATTGTATGGATTTATCAAAAGAAAAACTTAGAATCATCACAGGTAAGTTAACAGGCCACCATAAACTAAAACACCACCTTACGAGAATGCGCTTATATACGGATACAAACGATAGATTCTACGAATAGAATAAAGAGTCAGCCACACAGGTGCTGTTAGAATGCCCTCGACTAATGCATACACGAAAGAGACTCCTGGGAATGTATATTTCTGCGTAAAAGGAAATAAAACTCTGTAAAGTGGGTTCTATACTACTTTTTATTGACGCAACAGGACTTAGAGACTTACTGTAAGCCAAGAAGGGAGCTCAATAGACCATTAATTGCAGTGTCACATACCCTTTTAGTTCTATACTACTTTTTATTGACGCAACAGGACTCAGAGACTTACTGTAAGCCAAGAAGGGGGCTCAATAGACTCGATAATCGGAGTTCCACATACCCACTTAATAATAAATAAATAAAACTGAATTTCTTGTCAAATGAGTATGCCCGTGAAATTTGCATCGTGCCTTTCTTAATCAAGAGAATCTTGAGCTATGCATTGTTTTGAAGACCACCTAACATCCATCATAAGTTGTCACTGAAATTATCCAATTATCAAAGAACAAGCTGCCAAAAAAAGTAACGGAGAATGAACTCAATAGAGATTAAAATAGGCTCCTTTAAGTTGAACAACAATAAATTTATATGGTTTAGTTTGGGATGCAATATAGATTAAGTATGTTTCGATAAAAAGGTATGTTGATACATCTTTACATTTTTTATATATTTTATATACTGTTAAAAATACTTAACTTATATAGAAAAAAAAATATTTTTTATTTACTATTATATTATGATATTATTTTTTTTTATAATTCGATTTTATATTTTTTTAAAAAATTTCCCACATTAATTGGTGAAAAAATAATTCTCTATATTATCTATAACTACAATATATAAAAGATATATAACTTCACTCAAAGAAAATTTTTTGACATTTTTTTATTTTTTGACGTTTTTTTATTATATTTAAAAGAAAGTATAAAAAAATCTTCTTTAAATATTTCAAGCACATATTTTCCTTTAGCATTACGAATACAAGATATTTTACTATGTAACATAGTATCTTTCATAACATAAATTTTAGCAAAACTACAAAAACGTGAATCAGTTTATATCTCAACACTAATTACTCATACAAATCAGAATTTTAATTTATTTTTGTGAATTTAAATTTATGCTGCTTAGAAATTTGTCAAAATAATCGTATGTGTGCATAATTAAAGTTAAACAAAAACTTTGAAGCATTAATCATCTAAAAACTAAACATAAAAATTTAAAATAAGTAAAATATGAAAAATTTAAAGCATTAAAAAAATAAATAAATAAAGTATAGTAGGTGTTAACGAATTCCATTTTAATTAAGGCGTCACTTTTCACCTAAGGGGATTCCACTCTGTACGCGTGTTCAATGTATTGTAGATACGCGTATTCTTCTTTCAGAGATAAAACAATAAATTTATAAACAATGTGCTTGAAATAAATATAAACATTTCTATCTTCTAATATTTTTAAATAAAATTGTGCATAGCTGAATCAAATTTTTATTTAGGAATTAAATTCAACTGTGTCTATAATGTAATGTAAAACGGAAAATCATAAATTATGCCCAGAATAAAGAAAATAATATTTAAATATTTTATAGGTTTTATATTCATGTATAAGGTATTAGATATAATAATTATTGTCTTGATAGCAATAAGACCCAAAAATAGCTAATTAGAGCTTTTGAGCTCATTAAAATAACAAAACAAAAATTTAATAAAAGTATGTATTTTTTCATATAAAAAAAACTTCGATTGATGTCTGGTTTCTAAATATGCTCTGCGAAGTTCCATATTTATATCATTGAATTAAATCACGTTGACACCTACAAATTTTTTGAAGTACTGAGTAAAATGTACATTCTTTATATTTTTTGCAAAGATCCCCTTTCTAAGAGGATCTTGATCAACTACAAAACCTCCAACTTAATAGCATTTTAGGCCTAAGTAGATTCCCTTTGGGTCGCCTGTATAACATAACCTAACCTATCTGCTAATTCTAGCTATTTAAAAGAAATGGATCTAGTACATTCCGATGATTTCCATTCAACCGATTGTGAGATATGTGGTCCTTGAATCATGAGAAATTTTTAAATTTAAAATACAAGCTTTAGCTTGTTCAAGTTAGTTAAGAAGAATCTTTTTTGAAATAGCACAATAAATGTTATAGTTTGCGATGTATAAGAGTTATCAAAATATGCATTTATATAATTTTCTCAGATAGCGGTTAGCGTAGTTGTCAACTTTCTAAATTGACAGTCGTCACATTTGGTGCCAATTGGCCCGTTCTGCTACCACATAAATCAACTAGGACCTCTAGAATATTATATCATTTTATCATTGTATAAATTTTAGCAGCTCATTTAGCGGCTTGCTAAAAGAAAAAGAAAAAGGCTTACTATATATGATATTTAATCCAATTAATAACCACATATATTGTTCCTTTTATATTCCGTTGTGTACTGAATAGAACTAGATAAGGCGATTTATTGAGGCGTGTTGGCCTATATGACAATGGCACTTCTACGGTAGCAAAAAGTAAAACAACGTTTAGTATATTGAATGTTTACTATATTGTATACGTTGGTTTTTTGTGTATAAGTAATTAAGCTATTCTAATATCATTTAAAACATTACTGTGACTCTTTAATCATTATTGAGAGAGAGGCAGCAACAAATACTATGCACTTTTATTAGATGTTATATACTTATAAAAAATATAAGAAGTCGTCTAACTTCTTATACTAAAGATTTGATATTCAATTTTTAGAGAAACAAAAATACTAAAATGCTATTTTGACACATTTTAATGTTACTTTTTAATGTTAAAGTTCCCTAAAAGAACTTTACTAATAGACAATCTTCCTAAACGATATGCAAACTTATAGATATCTAACATTACTTATAATTATAGGGCACTGCAGTAGCTTGTTTCCTAACGGTATTAGAAAATATATTTCATTTTTTGTTTTCTTTTTTTAGTTTTATTTTAATTAAACTGATTTTTTAACGAAATGGAATTTTTTTAGCATTTATTAAAATAAATAAATCAAATGGTTTGATTTGTTGTAGATATATTCATGCTTTAAAGTAATATAATTATTTATCCAGCTAACTGTAATTAAATGTAAAAATAAACATATAATCTATCCAATTAATAGGATTAAAATAAAAAATAATAGCTTGAAAATTTTAAAAAAAAGTATCTAAAATAAAACCTTTACATACATATTATTGATGTTAAAAATTATTGTAAGAATATTTAAAATTATTAAAATAAACAACAGGCGACCTAACAGCACAAAATAAGAAAATAAGTATATAAAAATAATTATATATATATATAGTCTTTAAAAAACATTATGAATAGAAATTATAATCAAAACAATGTAGTAAATGTAGTGACAACAAATGAAAAAATATTTTCAAATAGAAAATATCTATTATAAGTTTTCAGCTTATTCAAAATAATTAATTAAAAAATTATTTTAAAAAATATTTAATAATATTGATGGGAATAAATAAATTTAAATTAATTATATCTTATTAAAAATGTCTATAAATAATGAAAACATTATTAATAAAAAGTAAAAAGCAATCTATTAAAAATTGTATGTTCTATATTAAGATATCTGCCTTTAAATAAAAAAAATAATTAACTTTTTAGTTTATTCAAAATAATTAATTAAAAATTATTTTAAAAAGTATTAAATAATACTGATGGGAAAAAAAATAAATGCTAATTAATTATAAACACTCTTTGCATTAAAACTATTTTACTTGTAAACATAAATTTAACATTAAGCCTCAATTAAAGGTATTATCTGTATTTTGTTTAGAACATAATTAAAACGTTTTGTTTTTAATAAATATTTGTATACTAAATTGTTAACAACATTGTAGTGATTTTACGCATTACGATCATGGTCAACATGTCGTGTTGCTAAATATTCTAATGCGTTTGCTAGTCTTCAAGAACAGTAACGCATGCAGATGTTTTGATGAAGTTTAAAAACTTAATAAATTTATTATATAAAAAAATATTGAAAATTAAACGTGCAAAAATATTTTGAAAAAATAAACTACATGACAACAT